GTTTCGCTCGAGTGCAGGTCTTGAGGATGTCTGAAATCTGCCGTGTGCGGCAGTTCGCCCGATACCGTTGGGACCGGGGAACGGGATGCCACGTTTGTTTTGCGTTGCCCTGTTTGCTCTTAAGCTGGTGGCCCTGCCGGCCTGAATTATCTCGAAGCGCGTTACGCGTCAGCCGGAGTTCAGGCTTGGGACTTGTGATGAAAGCAGTGGCAGTTGAAGCTTGAGCAGAGCGAGTGGCCATGAATCTTAGGGAGTGGGTGGAATTAATTTAATATAGTTGGAATACCTTATAATTCCTTCATGGACATGAGTCCCCCGAAAAAAGAAAGAAAAGAAAACAAATGCCCACCAAAAAATATCCACCAGTGGAAAATACCAAAAACCAAGTAAGCAAATAATGTCCACCAAAACCCACAACTCCCAAGTAACTGCGCCGGCGGCCTTGCGGGAGCCAGGCCAAGCCTCGGCGGGGCTGCCCAGACTGATCGGTTGAAAGAGATCTCAGTTGGACGGTTGGACGGTTGCTTCCATTTGCTGAAATGAATATTTTTTAAATTTTCTAACTGGTTGGTTTTAAAAGGAATTCATCACTACTGGACATATTTTCTCATTTTGTCCAGGGGGCTTAAGCAAATGGAAGGTTGGACCGGAGCCGCATGGGAGTTGCTTTTTTTGGTTCGTGCGCCATATTGCGCCATGAAACATAACCTATGGCTCCGTTTTGGGGTGGATGAACATCCATTTGCCACCTACTTTGATGTTCACCAGGGGTTTCCTGCGATTTGACCCACAGCCATATTGCGCCATGAAGGTGACGGTTCCGTTTATTTCTCTGCGAATGATGGGGGCAAGAGGTCCAGGGCTCCTTCAAAGATCTCCATTTTGCAACCCATTCGAAACATGTCGCCGGCTTTTTCAACACCAAGCCAAAGAAATGGAACCCGCCTCACGGCCAAGTTGCAAGGTTCGATCGGTGTATGATGCATCCGGATCCGTGAAGTTACCACCACCGAGCCCGTTGGTTTGGATGAGTGATGAGTCGGTGAGGTAAGGGCGCCGCCTTAGCCCTTCGGCTTTTTGGGCTTTGGAAGCTCTTGGTGCCACCCCAAATCCAAGTGCACACATTTGGGTGCGGGTTAAAAATAGGTACCCAAAATGACATCCTGGCAAGTGGAAACAAAGACTAGCACCTGCGGTCCCCCGCCGGTTTAATTTTGACTCATATCCATTTAGGCACTGTGGTTTTTGTTGATTGCACCGTTGTTAGCTTGCATTTCAACAACCGGGTTTGGTTAAAAGCACAGAATTCGTCCGTGCTTTGGGTTGTTTTCCTAAGCTTCCGTCGGCTGCGTTTTGCGGGACCGTGCCGAATAAGTGACCCTGCTTTGCCCCTAGAAACTTTCAATGGCTGATTGTATAGAACCGCCATTTTGGACCTTTGGGGGCTGATTTCCCACAATTAAGCCACAACTAACGTTAACGTTCAGACAGCCCATAAACCACGGGTTCATACCAGGGGTTCACATATGGACACATACATTCAGCCTTTGACACTTCTTTTTGCTTCGGTGGCAGGTTCGGCGGAAGACGAGCCTGGTTTGCCCGGCGCTCGGTTGGTGGCCATGCGAAGCTCCATGGAATCAGCATTTGCGAGCAAAAGGCCCTCTTTGCATAGGTGTATTTTAATCGGGTTAGTTTGGTTAGACATAGATGGGCTCCACCGGTTTGTTTGCCAGGGAAACCCGTCTATTTTGCCCAAAAAAGGTCACCTATGCCTGTCTGTGTTTCCGCGGGGTGCTTCCTGCAACCAAATAAGTACAGGTATGCCTGATGTTTCGCACGAGCGCACGCTGGCTTCAAAGGTGTGCGGCTTCACTTCGGAGGAACTTGCGGGCATGTTGAACCGTGGGTTTGGCTTGCATGCCAAAATCAACGTTCCATACTTTCATGTGCAACGTGTGGGTTTTTGTTGGCGTCTCCACAGGTCAAGTTTTCAATGAGATGGTTTCCTTTGCGATTCGGAAGGTGGGGGGCTCCAGCGTTTTAGCACATTGCACAATGGAGTGAGACGTTGTGTTCAAAGCTCTGTGGGTTTGCCCACGCAGCAACAAATGACGAAATGGTTAGCGATCGTTGTGATGGGTTTGTGCGGCCCAAATGGACATGACAGCCAGCTGGGGTATCACATGGAAAGTTGACCCAGGCTCAGGTGTGTTGTGGATTAGAACCGGTACATATTGTTGAACATCTTATTCCTCCCTCCCCCCAACCTTGCACCTGACAGTGGTCTCCCTTCAAGAAGAAATTCATCTTCCAGGTACCCACAGGTACTATGTTAGTGGGAGGAAGGGTACTTGTTCGCGCACTTTGAGTCTCGCTCCCTCTCTCCTTCTCCATGTTCGTCTTCGTAGGGAGATGATGTGTGAACAATACCACAGCTGTGGAACACATCAGCATCATCGTGTTGACCCCGGATTAATCACCCCCTGTTGATTCACATGGGGGTAGTTACCCCTCGTTTTAGTGGGAAATCAGATCACTTTTGGAGGAACTCCCCCGCTGAATAGACCGGTTGGTCGGTCAATATGGGGTCAACATGACTCCTAAACAGGCCAACACATAAATTTAGAGCCGTCAAGAATCTGGCCCAGAAAACAATGGTCAAAGCTGGGGGCCTTATGTATATATATATATATACACATACATACAAAGAAGGTTCCCCACATGGGAAAGGCCATGGTCAAAGAATCCGGGGTCAACATTAGGATTTTACCTGAGACGAGCCGGCGCGATGAGGCAAGACCCGTGGTGGGCGAACGGCGCCTTGGCCAAAAAACTTCGCGGCTCTGGGGCGAGTTCCTTGTAGTTTGCTCCCGCGAGCGAAGCCATTTGGCTGTTGGCCAAGGTTGCTTTTCTCGCTTCCTGCGCGTTTCTGGACTTGAATCTTTTTGGGAAGACCGTTTTTGCGGTAGGCAGGAAGCTCAGGCTGTTTTGGCCAACCCCAGTCAGGATTGCTGGTTGACAATCAAGAGGTGCAGTGACCAGGTGTTCTGGATCATCCCTCTAATGTTTTTTTGAAGAGTTCATGGGAGACAGGGTTCCACTTTTTGACTGCTCCAGGCTAGACTTACCCCCAGGGGTTGTTTTTTCCCCCCGAAAAGGAGAACGACTGGGTTTAAGTCTATCTTCTGGGGTAGACTTAGGATACATTTTACATTTTACCAGTGACTCCAAGTGAAGCAAACACAAAGATATACATTCTAGAACTGGGCCCAGTCAAAAAGCGGAACTTTGATGGGAGCTGATGGGGGACAGAAATTTAGGCCGCGTTCGGCTCGATGGTGCCGAACAGATGGCAAGCGCATCTCGGGGAGACTTGTACTTGTCAGATGACTCACTGGATGGCTCATGCCCTTCTGTGCATGTTCAAAGCAGGGAATGTTGAGTATGATGCTCCTCAAACTTCTTGAGTTCCTGGACTCTAACTAATTAGGTCCCCAGTAGTGCCCTTTTCGGGGGAGGGTTCCCGTACTAAAATAGACTACAGAAAAAAGGCTGCCCTTATTCTAACCTCTCTACTGGAGGACCTAGTTAAGCAGCTTTTGGGACGACCATTTTAGCGGTAGACAGACAGTTCGGACTGGTTTTTGGCCAGTCCACTCAGGAAGTGAGGCTCAGACTCCTAAATGCCTTCGGTGAAGATAGGGATCTCCGTCTGCACTCAGTAGGGAATGGCCCAGGGTGGGAATGACCTAGGGCCTCCCTGAAAGGAAACCGCAAGGGATAATTTAAAGGGGTCATTCCCTCATTCCCTGCCTATCGCACCAGCAAATTCTCTCTCTCTCTCTCTCTCTCTCTCTCTCTCTCTCTCTCTGCTGTCGAATGCCGTGCCAGGTCGGAGAAACTGATCTGAACATGTCGAGTGAGGGTTCATCAGGACCACACGAATTTCAGGAGTCCGTGTTTCATGGTTGTTGTTGGGAAACATTTTACATTTTTTGCTTATTGTGGTTTAGTGGGAAATCCCCACTTAGCTGCTAAAAAATATATTTTTTGCTCCCCTTCCAACGTCAACCAAGGTTTAGTGGGAGTTCATTCAGTTTAGGGGCATTTCTTGGATTGAGAAGCTACGAGTTTCCAGTGGTACTCCAAGTCGTTTGGGCCAACTCATTGCAGAAACAACACCATGGCTGGTGCTTGTGCTTGTGGACCCGCGCGCGAGGTCCCGAGCCCGCCGGGGGGCTCAAGCTGATGGAAGGCTTCCATTGCGAAACCGGGGTTCATAGGGCAGATACATTCGATGAAGTACTCGAAGTCGGTTTCCCATTGTATTTACGAAGTGAAAGCTATGGACTCGGTCGATAGGTCCAGATAGGCTGTGGGGTGATTTGGGGCAGCTTTTTCATTTTGTTCTGGGAGTGTTGGGGACATTTGGAGGGGATCTCTCGAAAATCAATGACAAGAATAAAGAGTGCCAAGAAGAAGTTACTTTGGTTGCTTAAAGCACAACTACAAGACTGACTACCCCTATTTTTTCCCCGCCGCAGGTTTCGGTTCGCACATTTTGTTGGAATCCGATAAGTGTTGAGACACTGGCTGCTTTGGTGTTTGGCTGCCCTGGCTACCTCCTGTTGGCACTGTGCTGCCTGATTGCATGTAAGTCGGCCAAAAGGCTGAAGCCGACCTCAAACCTTTGCAGAATTGGGGTCCATATTTAGGGTGTAGGGCGTGTGTTGACGACATGAGATCGAGAAAGGCTGGGTTGAACGCTGGGATCTGTTTTGACATGTGGTTTCAAATGCAGGTTGACTAAATATGAGTCGGAATATGGGTGTGGCTCAAATTGAAGACTTAGGGCCCCGCAGGTTTTAGTCTTTGTTGCCATTTGCCATTTCCCCTGGTTTTGGTTGGGCAATAGCTGAGCGTCGCAACTGACTGATGGCTCCATAGACATTTTTTCCGCTTGCGCCCCTACTGGATTCATCTGATTTCAGGCCTGGATGCGACAGCTGAAAGGCGAGGAGGCCTGCGGCTTCTGAAAACGGAAAAACAACTGACTTTGTTTTGTGAAATTTAACATGATATATTTGAGTGTTTGAGAAATGGAGGTGGGAGCATTTTTTTTGTCCCCACATGACCATAGGTGACATATTCCCATTTAGTGGGGATATGTAATGTTTTCAGTGGTTTTTCCCACGCAATTGTCATCCCACGTACAGGACCTTTTCATCAACCCCTAAATGTTCGAAATTCATAGGCTGGCTTTTGCTCCCTTTTTGTCCTGTTGATTTTGTACTTATCCGTACTTGCACTAGTTGACAAACATCCAACAAATACACAGGACCAGCAAAGCCAACAAAGCACCCCATGTCCACTAAGAAGCTGAGTTTCCCCATCTCCTGCTGGATGGTGTTCAACAAAAAAGCTTCTGTGTAGTTGCAGAGTGTACATAACTGAAGAAGCGGGCTCCGTACCAAACACCCATGGGAGTTGATAGGTTCCTGTGTGTCTCAGAGCGGTATCATGACGTCCGGTGCTCAAGAACTCAGGGAGTCCATATTTCTGGGTGAATCGTAGCGACCTCACACGACCTCACCCCAAATGGGGAATAGCCCCCCAACCACCTTATTTCCGGTTGGTGAAATATTATAATTCACCCAGATATTTTGAGACACCCACATACAACTTTAGGAACTTGAGATGGACGAATTGATCCCCCTTCATTGATTCATGCTGGCTGTCCGTGCGTGTACTTTGTTCCATGTCCTCAGAGGGCTGCTAAACGAAGCAGCCCTTGGCCCAAGGCTCCCAGCAAGCCCAAACCAGCGCAAGACCAACTCCAAATTCCCCTGATTTTGGACTGGGCGGGTGGGTGGGTGGGAGGCTTGACATTTTTGCGTTTATGCCCCGTTGGTGGCTAGATACAGATCAGACGCTCGCGGGGATGCTGTGTTTGCACATCTCGGGGCTGTATCGGCCAAAAAAGTGTCCACCACATGCTCTCACAGCACAATTGGAGCCGTGCACAAGATCCCCGATAGAAATCTTTTTTGGGCCCTCACGGTTTTGTTGCGCTGGCAACGTTTGGTCCCAGTCCATCCCATTGAGGCTCCCTGAGACAATTCAGTCTCAGTCCGCCCAAAAGATCGACTGCGCAGAGCTTGCACGAGTCTGTAGTCAGCCCAGCCACAGTCGACGCCTTGGTAGATGAAGGGTAGTAAGAGAGAATCCCATCCATAAATAGGTGCGACCGCCTTTTGAAGCTATAAAGAACATGTTTTTGATTATGACTCAGTTGTGGGTTGTTCAGTGCCACTCTCGAAACTTGTTTGGTGGGTCACCAAAAATTCAGCCAATCCTCAAGGGTTTCTTTTTGTGCTATCATGTCACTTGCAACTGGGGGCCCCTGGCTCTGGCCACAGCCCCCGGCCAAGTGCTCTCTTGGCAAGGCGCCCACCATCGCCCCGGATTCTTCCGGCTCGGCCATCTGCACAGAGGCGGGATTGGGAGCGGGGCGCTCGGGCGGACTTGACCAGTGAGTTAACGTTGCCGGGTGGGTCCGTCTCAAATGAAAAAGCCCGCCCTGTTGCACGGTCGTAAAGGAAACCAAAAGGAAACCAAGCGGTTTTGGGGTCTGCTTTTTTGAGACGCCCCCAAGTCGCTTGCTGGTGAGCATCGCATGACTTCAAGTTTAACTTTAAGCCGGGGATCCGAACACGGACGGCCAGAGAACAAGAATTGATGAAGCGGAACGAATTTGAAGTAGGAAACACACTTCTTCCATTTAAGCATCTGTCTGATTTTTCCCTGTTGGCTTTGTCAGGAGGCACCCTTGCGCCAACGGGGACGGCGCCTTGACGTAGACCGCCCGCGCATCGACGGCCGAAGCGACGCAAGGCCTCGGCGCCCTGTGGCTTTGGCCCGCCGCCGTCGGATGCCTCGGGCTCCAACTTGGCGGAGGCGGGCGGAGGCTTCGGTGTCGGGTTTGGGTTGGGTTGGGCGGGTTTGGTTTCGGGTTTGGGTTGGATTGTTGGTGCTGGGCTGTTGGTTTTGTTGGGTTGTTGGGTTGTTGTTTTTTTTTGGTTTGGGTTGGATTGTTGGTGCTGGCTTGGGTTGTTGGTTTTGGGTTGGATTGTCAGTTGGTGCTGAGTTTGGGCTGTTGGTTTGCGCCCTTCTTGTAGGGGACCCCTTAAGCCTTTGGTTTCTCTTGAACAAAAGCAACCACAAGGGGGTGCGCTTTCACTGGTTTCAAGTTTGGTGAGTTTTGGGGTTGGGTTGCCGGGGTTGGTTTTGGATATCTTGGGTGCATGTCCAAAGGGACGTGCCTCTTCTCGAGTCCAAAAGGGACATCTCTCCGTTGGCTTGCAGAAACTGAAGCCCCGCGTTTTTCCCGGGCGGCTTCGTATGTGGGAATTAGGGGCAGATGAAAGAGGCGGGGATAGAATGTATATGGCCATGGGTAAAAAGCCAAATCGTACCCCCAGTGAACATCCGATTCAATCCAACCACTAAAATAGGTTCTAAATTGGGTGGTGAATTCACCTACCCCAAACTGGTACCATTGTGACCCACAGCCATATATGGGTGTGGGTCAAAATGAAACCACCAGGGGAAGGCCTGCTTTAGTCATGGGTTCCATTTGCCAGGGCAAGCCATTTTGGGTGCCCATTTTTGACCCACAGCCATATGTGTTGTAGGACAGCACCAAGTTCGCAACTCTTGCTGGGTTTGCTCTCATGGTTTCCTTTTGGGAATGTGCGAGGGCAAAGAAGGAAGAGTTTTCATCCTGAACTGAGACCAACCGCCACGAAAAGGAGCGCAGAAGCGAAACCAAAAGGACAGCTTAATAGGGACAGGAGCACACAGGAGACCAAAGGGAAAGCAAAAGGTCTAGGGGCTGATTCCCCATTCTTTTCAACCATCGTTCTTTTCCAAAACCAGGCGTTTTCCCCGGGTTTCTGGAGGTTTTCTAGAAAGATTCGGATCCCTGGAAAGAATGGAAATGGAAGGTACCCCTAGAAAAGGGCAACCTTTAGAGGGAAAGCAAACTGAAAGCCAAAGCTGAAGCAGGACACCGAAGCTTTGGGCCGTTCGTTTCGCAGGTCTTCGCGGAGTGCCGTGAACCGAAGGAGGCGGGGTGAGGCATTGGGTCTGAAGTCAGCAAGTGAAACAACTGGTCATACAGGGGGCGAAATGGCTGTGGCTCCAAAGAAATGGAATCCCATCTATAAATGGTACAGTGGTTTTTGGCACCATTCTCTGGAAGAAACGGGTACAAATGGTAGAAAGCCGCCATCCAGCTACCAAATCAAGGGATACATCCCAGTACCCTTGATGTGCTTCGGGGTGGTTTGACATGATTCCGTCAGGCTCCCCAAAAAGGGACCCCTGGAAATGGTCCCAAGAGGATTAGCTCGGAACCCTACAAGACCCAAATGGATCCGAGCAAAGCCGCTAGCCACTATTGGGATTGAGGGGGTTGTGGGGGGCCCTTGACAACCAGTGGATGGACGAAATCCTGGTTGAAACCATTGCTTGTTGGTATTTACAGGGAAAGCGAATCATTCCAGGGTTTCTGAACGGTGGTGCAAAGCGGATTTCACAACCATCCACAGTCGGAGTTGTCGTTCGGAGATCCCCACCCCCTTAGAAATGGAATTGGGGGAGGGGGGGTGACCCCTGGAGATTTCCATTTGTGGTTCCATTTTCCCTTTGATGGGGAAGACTCTCTCTCTCTCTCTCTCTCTCTCTCTCTCTCTCTCTCTCTCTCTCTCTCTCTCTCTCTCTCTCTCTCTCTCTCTCTCTTCGGACAGTCTGTTCCAAGCCGAGCAGGGGGACATAGCCCCGGCGGTAAAAACAGGCAGCTTGATGGGGAAGACTAGATAAATGGAATTGGGGACCCCCCACCCCCCTCCGCCTGAAGGTAAGAGTTGTCGTTCGGACCAATTGGCAAAGCAGCAGCTTCTCCCATCGCCAGGCGACGCTGCAGGAGGCGAAGATGCGCGAAGAGCGCTCTTACTGTACTTCCCTTTGCTTAAGAATATGTTATATGTTTTCTTTCTTCCCCTGTTTGTTTTAAAGGGAATCTATCGCTACTGGAAATAGTTTTATTCTTCCAGGGGTCTTAACCAAATGGAAGTGTGGCTAACTGTCGAGAAATTCAATGTTGGGCAGCGTCTCCGGAGTGGGTGGCTTGTCTTTATTTAGAGGAAAGCCCAAAATGGCGGTTTCCTTTTGGTGTCCCTTCAAAACCATCCAAAAGGTACCCTCAAAAACAGACAGGAACATAGATGCTTGTCAAAACAAGTTGGACTCGGTGGGGATGCTTTTCAAGGACACAATGATGCCGGCTGTGTGAAGAGGTCCTTCGTTTTGAATTGCCGATGTGCTGTGATGGCCGAGACGGAAAGCAGCAAGATGTATCCCATGCTAGCTACTGGTTCTGTTCACAAGTCATGAATGCCTTGGGGGGTTCAAACTGACTCTGTGTTGATGCTTTGAATTGAAGATTAAAAGCTGAGATGAAGCCGTGCCTGAGGCCTGTTTGTGCAAGTTTGTTCAGTTCAGGTTCCTGCGGCAGACGGAACCCCTCACTAATGCAGCGAGCTTCCAATCTCTCAGCAGATAATTCATTTTGGGACAGGATGACCACTTCGACGCCTCGGATTCCCTGGCCCCTGACCAAGAATTCCGTTGCCCCGACGAAGAATTTCGAGCCCCGCAAAGCCAAGTAGAAGCTCAAGGTCCGTGAGTTAAACAATTTCATGTTGACCTCGGACGAATCCGCGTGGATTTGTTGGGGAGGCGTTTTTCCCAAATCCCAAAGTGCAGAATCACCTCCAAACGTGGATCCACCAGAAAATTATCAATTTATGCTGGGTTCCCTCTCATGAGTCTAACTCTAAACTGTCTTTTTGTTGGCGAGGGGGACGGATGAAGACCCCCTGGATGATTTTGGTGGTTCCCAGCCATCCAAAGTTTAGCAGGGGATCGGTTTGGACAGCCCAGGTGCGATTCTTTGGGGATTCGTCGCTTGAGTGGAACCCTACCCAGCAGGTCGCCAAGAACTGCCCGCCCGAGCCCTCGGAGCCGGCGAGGGAGGCGGGTCCCGCTCAAGGTCGAGGGCGGTTTTCGGATTTCTTTGTGGCAACAAAGATTTGAACAGGTTGACCAGGCTGTTGACACGAAAACGTTGGATGGATTCTTACAGGGGAATTGAGTCAGAAACCAGGGGTTTCATAGGTGGTGAGAAATGGAGTTCGTCCACAGTGGGTGTCCTTTTGATCGGCGAGTTTGGTTCGAAAATGAGTTTAGATTGGCTTTACGGCCCATGAACCCGGGAAACCCATCTTTTTCTCCGAAAGGGCCACCTATGACGTGTGGGGTTTTTGTTCGTGGCTTCCCTGGCGCCAGGAAAAAAAAAAAAACTTGCAGGTGTGATGTGTGAATGACCACGAGTGACCGGTCTTGGGAATGAAGCAGTTCTCTTCCAACCAGACTGAGCTCCCCTTTTCCCTTTTTTGATCTTTTTTGGGGTCCCCTTCCAGGCAAAAAAAAGTACTTTTTTGCCGGGGTCCTAGTTCCAGCCTAGTTTTGGGGATTCCCTGAAAGGAAAGCAGCCCGGAAAGCGATTTTCCGCCTATGGAAACAGCAAGTCTTTGGGGGGGCATTCCTCTCGGCCAAAGCGCAACGAAGATGGTTGCAGCTTCTGGCATCCGCGGTTTGGTCTATGGGCGTGTCTCAGGATAAGGGACCCTGAAACTGGTAGGTTTTCCTTCTGGTTTCACTTTACAACCCTCAAACAGGGGTAGCATTTAACAAAGACACACCCTTGTTGGCACACCTCGGGCGTGATGCGCCGAATTGGCCGGCAATTTTGTTCTTTTGAATCGGGCAGTGAGCATCCCCGGTGTGGCTTGCGTCAAAGCCAGGGACTCTGAGTTCAACCAGCCAACTTGTCCAGAATTAGCTCCCCCTTTTGTTTTTGTTTTTGGGCTTTTTTGGGGTCCCCTTTGTTTCCACCATGTTTTCCACTAACCAGGAGCATAAATCAAGCCGTCGTTTTTTTGTCCTTTTGTTTTCTTGCTTTTTTGGGGTCCCCTTTGTTTCCACCATGTTTTCCACTACCCAGGAACATAAATCAAGCCGTTTTTTTTGCAGTGGTCCTAAGCCAAGACAAGAGGCCCCGTTTCGAGCCGAGCCGAGCTCAGCCGCAGGCGGCTTCGGTGGCTGCAAATGCGCCGCCGGAGCCGGCGGCGCTGTCGGCATCGGAGCCCGGGGCCCGGGCGCTGGTGGCTTCCAGGTGCTGAAACGAAGATTTGCCGATTTTCTCGCTTTAAAGGTACCGAAGATTTGCTGATTTGCTGGTAGCTTCCAGGTCCGAAATCGATTTCCAGTTGCTGGTGTTTTAAAGGGACTCGATTTCACAACTGGACATATTCCATTTGCTTTTTCCAGTGGACTGGACTTAAGCAAATGGAAACTTGCGAAAGAGGTTGATGGCAGATTGCAGCAGCTGGTGTTTGGATGTGAACGGCTTTCATGATTTGACCCTAGAGCAGTGCACTTCGAGTGCGGCGAATGAGATGGCTTCCCTCGAAGAAACTGCGTCTCTCCTGGAAGATGGCCCGTATGCTTGCTCGGAGACTTTGCCTTCTCTCGCCGACAGCCATTTTAAGGGACAGTGGCTTTTCTGGGAGCTTTCTTGGTGAGTCCATTGCTTTCATTTTTTCCAGTTGCTGAAATGAATCTATGTTTTTCTATGTTTCATTGTCCGTCTGGTTTTGGATGCAATCGATTTTGCTCTTGGAATGGAAGTTTAGGTTAGTTTGCCTAGATGGGTTCCACTTAGATTGGTTGCATTCCACTTACTAGGGCCATCCATTTGTCCAAAGGACACCGATGTTGGTGAGTCGTTTGCCGATTTTCCCGAGGCGGTCCGTTAGAGATCCGCCGAGGCGTCTCCGGGGAGAGTCGGGGGAATCGGGATCGATCAGAACATGTCCGGCCAGACGTGCGACCTATGTAGCATCCTATGAATACAAGGAAGTCGTGGCTTTTCCTTGTTTCAGAGGTGCAAGGGCCCAGCAAAGAGAGAAGGCACGTCAGGAGGTAGTTGCAAATTGGAAGGAGCCAGGGCTCCTAGGTCCCCCAGTAGTGCCCTTTTACCCTTTTTCGGGGAGGGTTCCCCTGCTCAAATAGAGTACAGAAAAAAAGGTTCCCTTATTCTAACCGCTCTACTGGAGGACCTAGTTGAGTTGTGAAAGACGGTTGGGCCCAATGGGCTGGCTGGCATTGGTCGCTGGATCCGTTTGAATGCCAGTGCCGTAGTCAACGAAAACTTTTGCATCCTGTGGGCATGTGTCAAGCTGGGGACCCCGACAAAAAAATGGGCTTCATGTTGGTTTATCTTCTGGGTACCAACATCAATCCAGTTTCCCCTGGGGTTCAAACAACCCAAAAACGATGGGGGTTCATATAACCGCCGTGGTTTACCTCAGGATGGTCATCATCCAAATTGGGTCCCAAGGCCATTCTTTTAATGGGGGCTGAACCCTAGGGTTTCTACAGGGGCATCAGCATCCCCTACTTCCATTTGCTCAATAATATTATAATTGTTTTTCCCTTCTTGGTTTAAAAGGGAATCGATTTCACTACTGGACATATTTTTTATTTCCCGGGGGCTTAAGCAAATGGAAGCTTAAAGACACCCGGGGTGGAGAGGTTGCTCCGCTCGCGCCGCTCTCTCCGTGGCAGGGAAGCAGAGCCCTTCGTCGCCGCAGCCTCAAGCTCGACCTGTGGGAGAGGGGGACTGGACCCCGCGCGCTGACCGCTGATATCAAAACCACCTCTGAGTGGTAGGTGTAATGTTGACCCCGGATTAATAAACCCCTGTTTATTAATATGGGGGTGTCCCTGGTTTTAGTGGGGATTCATCACTTTAGGAGGGAACACCCCCCCCGAATACTGGGACGGGTTTATTAATCCTGGGTCAACATGAAGGCACAAAGGCAGTCGCCTCAGTTTCTGACATTAATTGCCCTTAGACACAGTCAAAATACCTCGAAGTGTCATGCCCGCTAGTGCGAGGATCAGCGCGGGCAGTTGAAAACTGCCTGGGTAAATTACCAATTTCACTTTGCTCGGTTGGCCTCCGAGGTGTGCGTGCTTTGTTGAACACCGTGTTCCAATGCAAGCGAACGCCAGAGCGAAGTTCGGTGTGGTTTCACCGAACTTGAGCTTGTGATCGAGTGGGGCCTGCCCCCTGCAGACGAAATGGCTGTGGTTGTCAAAACCAATGGTACCATTTGGGGTAGGTGCACCACCCATTTTAGTCTATTTTAGTGGGGATTGGGATGTTCGCTGGGGTACGGGCTTTTGACCCATGGCCAAATGTCTTTTTCGCAGCTCGTGCCCTTTTGCTTATTGTCGAAATGAAGCCAAAGGTGGATCCACTTGAAGAGGGCGCTTTGCTATTTGCAGGCCCCCTACCTTGGCAAACCTGGTTGTGGGTTCCGCCCCATTTCCAGACAGCCCCCATCTCCAGGCAAACCAAAATATCAATTATGGCCTTGGGCCCCGCCCCCCTCCCAAAAAAAGAAGAAGGGTGGTTGTCCTTGTCGTTTCCCCTGAACACCACCCAAAAAGGGTACCCCCCAGAAACTAACAATAAACAACAACAACTCTCTCTCTATGCAGATACAGATATCGCATACATATCTATATATATCAATCTATATATATATATATATGCATATATGCATTACACATAGGTACCACACCTTAAACAAATCCATTGGCCTCAATTCTTGGGAGAGACTTCGGGAGCTCGAGGTGCCTAGCTGGGCTGCGCCGCGAGGCTGGTTGGCTGATGCTGCAGTGCAACCGACCAAAAGACTTCTTGGTGGCTATGGGAATTGCTGCCATGGGAAGTACGACTTTTTTGTAATTAGCCAGACTTTTTTATGTGGCCAGACTTTTTGTTGATGGCCAGGCGGGGACCATAAGACTTCTTCTGTGTTATCCTTCCTCCAACCGGGCTCGGATGGTTTTAGTGCCATTTGTGGCCATGGTAATTTGTGGCCAGACTTTTTTTGTGGCCCTTAGTGCTTCCTCCCACGTTGGCAGATGGCACCCTGCGGAAGGGCACCCCTACGAATTTGATGTTGGCAATATTGATTGTGTTTTTGTTGATGGCCAGGAGGGGGCCATAAGACTTCTTTCTGTGAGATGCCCTGAGGGAGCCCTTCCTCCCACGTTGGCAGATGGCAGTGGGAGGGCATCTGGAAGATCAGGTTCCTCTTGACCCACGCCCTGTCAGGTGCCGTAGGAAAGTGGGAGACAGGGTCACTCAGCCTCTTGTGTGAGCATACCACAGGCTGTGCCTTTTTCGTTTGCCTTGAACTCTGACCCATGGGACCTTTCTTTGCGCCTGCCAAATTTCTCGTGCAGCGGGAAACAAATTGGCGCAGGCCCGGCCACGGAGAAGCCTCTGCCGGGGCCTCCGCCTCCGGCGCCGCCGGCGCCGGCGCCTCTGGCGCCTGCCGCTCCCACGACGCCGCCGGAAGCGGCGCCGGAAGCGGCGCTGGAAGCGGCGCCTTGCCCGACTTTTTGGGTGGGGAGGGTTCCCCTGCTAAAATAGACTACAGAAAAATAATGTTGATACCTTTATTCTAAGCTCTCAAATCTGGAGGACCTAGCGCTGGAGTTGCCAGTGGCTTTCCACTGGAGATGGGCGAGTGGTGATTGCGTGTTGGTGACTCTGGCTCCGGCTGATGGTCATGCTGATTCTCACTTCCTGAGTTCATGGACTTTCTACTTTTTGGGCAGACCGTTTGCCAAGCTTGGGTTCCTTTTTCGGCCAACCCACTTACTTCCAGTTGCTTAAGAATATGTTGTTCCCCGTTTTAAAGGGACTCTATGGGTGTGGGTCAAAATTAAGCCACCAGGGGACCGCAGGTTTTGGTCTTTGGTTCCATTTACCAGGGTCCGTTTTGGGTCCGTTTTCATTTTTGACCCATAGCCCTATCACTACTGGACATGTTTTTATTCTTTCCAGGGGTCTTAACCAAATGGCTGTGGCTCAGAAAACCAGTACCAAAATGGAACCCTGGTAAGTGGAAACATGGACCAAAACCTGCGTAACCCCTGCTGGTTAATTTTGAGCCACACCCAAATGGAAGCTTAGGAAGTGAGGATTGGTCCCAAAGAACACCGGCAGGCGGAGCCCGGCACCAGCGGCTGGATGCAGAACCTCAGGGGCTCGCATGAGGCGGGCAAAAACCCGGTGGGCTTTTTTCCATTGTTTTTAGTCTTTAGAAGTGGTTCCTTGTTTTTTTTTGGGGGTTTTGTTTTTTTCCCTCATTTTTTTCTTTTTCCGCTGCACAGGGTTTGGTGGTCAGAGGCCAGCTTCTATTTGAGCAGCTCATTTTGCAGCGGGGAACTTCATGACTATGCGGTGGAAGCCTTTGGTTCTTGGCTGCTCATTGGTTCGAGTCCACGCTGGTCCGTTTCTTGTCTTCTTGCGGCCGAACAAATCTCTTGCCTCTCACCCCGCGCATCCGTTTCCTCGGTTTTGATGTTGTGCCATCGAAGAGCTTTGCCTTCGCGCAGGACGACGACTTCGCCGCGGTGCCGTGCTCAGTCTCTTTCATTTGCTGATTTCGTTTCATTTTCTCCTGTTGGTTTCGAAGGTAGTCGATTTCACTGCTGGACATCTTTTGTTTATCACTATGTTTTTCCAGGAGCAACAGAGCAAATGGAAGGCATTGCTTGCCGCGGATCAAACCCGTGCTGTGCACTGAGGACGACCCCATGGTCTTCGCGAAGCCCAAGGCGAAGCAAAAGCGCAGGCGAAGCGGTCAGGGGAAGTTGAGACCAACCAATGAGGACAGGGAGTTTTTCTGACAAGTGGCTTGCCTTTGGCTCCACCTCAAAGGCTATGTTTTCAATTATTGGCATTGGTTGAGTCATCTGTCATCATCTATCTCTGTTTACATGCTGCCTTCACACGAGGTTAATTTGCAAACTTACGGAGGTCTGAGGGTTGATATTTGTTGCGGTAAGATGCTGCATCTTCTGGGCCCGATAGCTGAATATGTTTTGTTTAATGACGAGTGCTGAAGGAATGGCTTGGTGGCTTCTTTCTGTTTCACCTGGTTTTGGAGCGACATTGCAACATAGACTTGCTTTGGCATGGAGAAGAGCCCATGGCCGGTCGATGGAATGATCAGCGCTCCATACGGTTTGCGGCCCAGGATCGGCAGAGTGTCGACTTTGTTAGAACAAACCCTTCCTCGTGGCCCACGATTTGCCAGTTTCTTCGTTAGCTGAGATGGCAGGGAACGCAATTCCCTGGCCGCCTTGCATGCTATTTCCTGAGGGTAATGATACGTAATGGTCAAAGGGACAAGGTTTTTCATCCACATCTTAGTATTGACACAATGTGAATGGGCAGGTCCAAGTCCAAGCAGAGTGCGTCGAGCGCCGCGAGTGCGAGTGCCGAGCCTCGATCGGTGGCGCGGCTGAATAATTTATCGCGGCTTTCCGATTGCATCAACAAGAGGACGCATCCCTGACCAATGGTTGATTTCTTGGTTTCCCTTCGGTTTTGGCCGCCCTTTGGCCGGTCATGTTAGCCTCCATTTCCCTTTCTGGAACTTCCAACAGTGGCAGTTTCAGTGAAAACCATTGGTGAATTGCAACTTTTGAAGGGGACATCCAGTGACTGCTGGTTTCCAGGACATTTTGTCAATCATGCCCACTTCGGATAAATCCAGACAATCCCACTCGGATAAAACCGCGAAAGAAAACAAATCATCATATCGGGGTTGATCAATTTTCCTGCCCCCCGAAATGACCATGCCTAACTTTGCCCATGTGGCAAATATCATTTTGTTTGGGTTTCCCCAATGTCATCCCATGTAAAGGACCTTTTGATCAACCCCAATATGCGACGATGCATCATGTCCCGCCTCAAAGGGGAAGGGCGGAGTGGTTCAATCCGATTTTTTTTGGGTGCATTCTTCGCCCACCCCGAGCTTCAAGTGTGTGTGTGTGTGTGGGGTTGCAGGGTGTGGCTGATGACCCCTAGTAAAAATTTTGCATTTTTTGGATGTGTCCATGGTTTTGTGGTCGAGTGTGGTTGGCATACTTGCAGTACTTAGAGCTGCATTCCAGCCCATCAGTTGGTCCGAGCATGGTTCCTGCCTCCAGAGACAGCAGAGCATCCCTGTCTTCGTGTGATTTGGGATGCAATGGATAAAATCAGAGGTTTCCTTTTTGGCTGACGACTCGCTTTGAACCTCACTTCCTGAGTTCATGATCTTTAAACTTTTCGGGAAGACCATTTTAGTGGCAAATTGATAAAGTTTTTGAGAACTCTTTTTGGGCCACCCACTCAGCCAGTGAGGAGCGGAAGGAACCATCAAGCAGGGGTTCCGAACGTGACAACTTACCATCGTTTACCCCGGGGAAGCGGATCTCGTCGTATCGCGCGCCGAGGCTGGATACGTGCCGGGCTCGCCGGGCTCATGGCTCTGGATGGGGAAGGGGGCGTGGGATGAGCCCGAAAGAAGCCACCTGCGGTGTTTCCATCGAAAGGGAAGCCAGGGAAGCCCCAGGTTCATTCCCCATCGGTGGGATGAGCCCTGAGCGGCAAGGAAGCTATGGGGGTCGGTTTTTGGAACGCAGCAGCCACCCAAAAAGGGGACCCCCCCGGTTAGTGCGCGCGGGGGCCGTGAATTCGGGTTGGATCCCATTTTGTTACGCTTTGTTTTTGGACAAGTTGCCAAAAGGGGAACCCAGTTGCCCAGTGGTGCCTTTTTTTTACTTTTGGGAGGGTTCTTGCTTAAAGTCAAGCAACCAAAAAGGGATGCCCCTTTTTTTCCCATGGCCACTAGGCATCTGAGGGAATCTTATACTCAATCTCTTTTGGGCAAGCGAGGGTCCCCATGTGTCACGAGCGAACTGCTAGATGCAGGCGGGGAAGCCTGTTTGGTTTCTCGCCCAGAGATGACACGGAGGTAGGAAGGCCTGGCAACGTGTTCATGTTGGAACAGGAAGTTTTTGAAGTGTGACAAGCGAACTTCAACTAGAGTTTTTCAGCTGACAGTAGCTCAGGCAAAGGTCACTGAATGCCCCCTTCAAAAGTTGCAATTCACCATAGTGGCTTTCACTGACACTGCCACTTTTGGAGGTTCCAAAAGGACACTGGAGGAAACCCTGTCAGGATGTTGGCGGAGAAAACTTGGATATCACATTGGCTGCCGTCGATCCGTTTGTCGGTCGAGAAACGTTCAATTCTCAAAGTTAGGGGCCCTTTCAGGTGGCTGGTTTTTCCTTTTGGCTTCCTCTTCAACCATTGAAACAGGGGTTTTCGGGTTGGTTCTTAAAGGGAAGTCAAAAAGAACACCTAAATCTTAAAAAAAGAAGAAAGACAACAACAATTGGGGGGGGGGTGGAAGTTGAAATCGGTTTATTCTTTTTTTGTTTTTTTAAATGAGGGGAGGTTAAAGAAAAAGCCAGACACACCCGTCTTCTGGTTCCTTGCCTCGTCTCCCCCCGCCAATCCGAACTCCGGGCAGCGGAGGTCTGGCGCGGGGTCGGCACCCGCCAGGCCCGAGCCGGAGGTGTATCCGGAGGCACCGAAAAGGGGGGGATGGAGTGCCGTGGGGAAGTTCTGGCTTTTTCTGGTTGTTGGTCGTTACTTTTTTTGTTTGTTTTTTTGGGGGGATGTTATTTAATTATTCACGTATTATATATATATATGTATGTATGGGGGGGCGGGGGGGACTCTCTTTGAGTTTCATTTCTTTTTGGGGTGGGGGGGGAAGCAGGGAGGCATTCCGCTGAAAGTGTGCAAGTGCAGAGATCCTTTTCAGAGTGGCAGAAGATAGGACAGGAGGGCTCAACAGGAGGGAGCGGGGCCGGGCCGTAACGGCCGGTCTTGACTTGCAAGCAGGAACCCAGGCCCTCAACTGGGTGCTTTATTCACCCACATTTGTGGATTGCCTCCAAAGGATGGTAATTGTGATGCATATGTTTCTGGGGTCATTCTGTTGCTTGTTTCTGGAAGTTATCAAAGTCAGAAATTGGATTCGGTGGTTTCCCTTTAACAACAACCACTGAACGGGGGTGACTTTGATGGTAAAATAATGAGGGGAATTAAAAATTGAATGACCCTTAACCATCCCTGCCTGGCGCTTTTCCTTTATTCGGGCATCCCCTTACCCGGTTCACTCCCAGATTCCCTACCTAGAGCACCGATCGCCAGTGTTTCGGATGTTTACAGACCCCTCCCTCTTTTCCGGGGTTCAAACCCCATTCAAACAAAGTTTGACCCAATTTAGGTGATGACAATCCTTATGTGAATAAACTAGGTTCCCCAGTAGTGCCCTTTTAACCTTGTTTGGGGGAGGGTTCCCCTACTAAAATGGACTACAGAAAAAAAGTTGGTACCCTTATTCCAACCTCTCTACTGGAGGACCTAGTAAAGGTGGTTATATGAACCCAACCTTTGTTTTACTGCTGGTTTGCACCCCAGGGTCCCAAAAACCCAAACACCCAAACAAAGTGCTTCCCGCAGGGCTTGGGCTGGATGCACGACCTGGACAACGTGCTCGCGCCTCGGGAGCCCCGGAGCCGAATGCAAGCGGCGAACGGGGGTCACGGGCTAGGCTCGCAGCGCAAGCTGCGAACACGGAAATAATACGCAGATGGGTATGTACGCATATGTAGATACATATATCTATACGCATACAGGCATATATACATATATATAATGTGTAGATATTTATATATGTATATTGCTGTATATGTTTGTATGTATAGAAGTATACATGTATATTTGCATACATGTGTACACATACGGATGAACACAGAACAGCAATTCTTCACTTTGTTGGGTGGAGGTGGGGGTGCGTTGTATTTATTCCATAGGCTCTAATGATGCAGCGGCGGAAGATTGGGTTGGACCTTGCCCCAGTACTCGCCCGGGTTTTGGGATGTTGCTTTACCAAGAGACAAGCGCATGATGTTGCGAGTGACAGCAGCGACTGTCAATGTTTCATTGTAGTCCTGCTCTGTAGAAGTTGTAACTTGAGCTTGAGCTTCACTTCTCAATAGCATAGCTGTTGAGATTGCCACAAACACTTTCTATGGTTGTCGAGTTGCTCCTAGGCAACAGCTGCCCACAGTTCTCATAGGAAGCCGATCAGGACCCACTTTAAATCGGTTCTGATCAAATCTGCCACACCTTTTCTGATGTCTCATAGTACTGATCGCCAAGGGAAATGCGATGCATTGTCACTTGGGTTTGTTTGCAAATGAGGGAACCTAGAAGAACACGTGCGAAGCCTCAGGCTGAACCAGCCGATGTTCAGCAAATCCAGGACGCGTTTCGTCGGCATGGAAAGCAAGAGCAGGGATCATGGGGTGTTGGGCAACGGGATTTCAACAGGAATGTACGTGCCTGTCCAGCCGGCCTTTCTGAGGATGGTTCTGATTTGCTTGACGAATGTGACAATCAGGTGTCCCTAGTTAATGGCTGGGATTGGTCTTGTAGAGGGTAAATGGACCTCCTCAACCAATCCAAACCACCAATCCAATCCGAGGATTGGAGGGAACCTGAATAGGCGTTACTGGGCCACCAGGGAGGTGCCTCGTGACAACTGTGAGCTTGTGAACAAGTGCGCAGCCACCCAGAATCGGCCCAAAATTCTGGGTTGGAGCACGTCTGACTGATTGTTTGGTGGGCAGAACGCTGACTTGTGCGCCTTCTCAAGCTGGGCCGAACGCCGACTATGATCTTGGGGTTCAAAGGTGACATCAAGACTACCCGATGATTTGGGCAAGCTCACCTTGTGCGGGGGGGGGGAAGGTAGGGGGGGGGGAACGAGAGCAGTGATCAAGGGGGTTGAGGAAGCGTTGGAGCCACGTCGCGCTGTCTGTCTTATGTGGCCAGCAGGTGCTCCCTTCACTTCGCTTTGGAGCAGCTTTCAGAAGAACTTGTTACGCCAGAAAACGTCATGGGTTGATCAATATTGCGTTCGGTCCCCCAATGAGATTTACTTTTATTTCATGCTGAGCATCGAATCCATGGTGGGTCTGCATGCTCATCGCATGCGGAGATTTGATGCGGTGCAAGCTGGCCTTTGGCAGGAGTCAGCCTTTGCCACGGGGCAAAAGGCCCGGCCTACGCCAGCGGCACCGTTGACATAATTGCAAATCCAGTGTTTTTTGGGGATCCCCCCCAAAGTTTGGTTTTCCTTTTGGTTTCCTTTTTAGAACCACCCCAAAAAGGGTTTTTGTCAAGAAGACACCCCCCATGTATTCTATATTATATGTGAGCCTGACTCCTACCCCTGTGACTTTGTACGTTCAGCTTGCCTTTGCAGAAGCGCTCTGCTCGAGCTCGCCTATAGCTCGCCTACGTATAGCGCGAAGGGAGCAAGCTGGTTCCCAGACTCCATCAGCTTGGGTCACCCGCCAGAGGTCACCTCCTAAACCTCTCCCGCCTTCGGCGGCCTTGCCAGGCCACCGCGGCCTGGGTCGGAGGAGTTGGGGCCCCCAGGGGCCAGCTGGGGCCAGCGGGCTGGGGGCCAGGGCTGCGATAGCCATGGGGTCAATCCATCGGGTCCCAGAGAGGGCCAGCTTTCAGCCGGGGATCAGCGCATGCGATCTTCTTGCTGGTGCTCAGGGAATGAGAAATGCAATGAACCGTTTTGGGGTTCCTTTAATGGACGCCATAGGGGATGGATATCATGTGAGTTGGGGGGGAGGGCGAATAAGCCTCAAATAAGCCCCTAGTAAGGGCTTCATAAGGGCTTATTTGGGCTCCCTCCCCCTCCCCTCCCTCCCCCCCCAGCCCCCAGGAGGATACGGGTCCTTCCCTCATTCCCCGCTGAGCGCCAGCCAGTTTTTTTTTCCCCCGAAATCAGGCCTGGAAGTGCCTCCAGCAGCTTCAGGAGGACAGGTTTGCCGCACAAGCGGGGGGTGGACATGCCACCGCTGGTCATAGCGCACCTTTAAAGTCGCTTGGGTGAAAGCTGGAGGCTCAGACTGAGCATGGCAATGCTCAGGGGGCGCTATATTTCCATGTAAACATCACTTTTTTTGGCCCATGAAACATCACCTTGTTTGGCCAAGGAAAGCTGAGTGTCCGTGTCCCTTGGTGGGGGCGATGTTTTGAGGGGAACTTTTGGGAGCCCTGAATGCGCCAGCTTCCAGCTGCTAGAAAGATGGGTAATCACCTGGATGGCGTCTCAGCTGCCATCACACCACGTGGCCGCGCGAAAGGATTTTGGCGCTTCAGGCTGTCAGGGTTTGGGGGAGGGTTCGGGACCCACGAAAATAGACTACAGACAAAAAGGTACCCTTATTCTAACCTCTCTAGTGGAGGACCTAGTTAACATGGTCGGCTTTCCGTGCTTTCTGCATGGCATCCTTAGCAGCGCCAGCTTTTGGGAGGCCAAGATCCATGCCGGCTTGGTCCGAGCAGCCCAGTTGAGACACGGGGGGGGGGGGGGCACCCTCTGGGTTTGTCTCAAGGTGGGGGCGCTCAAAATGTGTGATTTTTGACGTTGGCTTCAAAAACAGCCCCCTCCAAAAAGGATCATCTCAATGCAGAACACATTTCCATCCAGAACTGGGTCCCCAAACAGACCCAAGAAGACGCCGTGCTTCTCGCCTCACCTTTGCCTGGGGGTTCATGCCCATTAAAAGAATGGCAAGGACCCCATTTGGATGATGAGAATCCTGAGCTAAATCATGGTGATACTCACCCAACCCATTGTGTTGACAGTGGCAGCTGACTGAACCCCAGACCTTTGCCATCGATTTCCATCGACCCATTTTGAACCCCGGGGGGCTTTCGATTTCGCGCCAGGACTCGCACCAGCACCGGCGGAGCCGGCGGAGCCGCTTGCGGAGCTGGCCGGGCGGCCGAGGTTTCAGGTCCCCGCGCCCAAAGGGGAGAGGACGTTTTGGGGGGCCTTGGTGGGCTTGAGGATGGACGGACTCCACTGGAGAAAGGCTTCTCATCATTTAATGACTCCACTGGAGAACAGGGGTCTAATCGTTTAATGATTTGCCAGTGTAGTCCGTTGATTGCTTGTGCAGAGGGAATTTCCCCCCCCCCCCCCGGGCCAACGAAGAAACATCTTGAGGTCCAGTTTAATTGTTCAGTATTATGGAGCTGCCTTTTGAGATTTAGAGTTGACTTTCCATTTGATTTAGTATTGATGGAGCTTCCTTTTGAGTTTGGATTTAAGTTGTCCTTTTGTTGAGTTTTGCTGGTGCTGCCTGGTGAGATTTTGATGGGGGCCAGGCAACACGACTTCACTGTAGGGGCCCCTGAAATAAAGTCAAACGCGGTTTTGATTGTGGGCAGCTTTGAAACAAGAGCTGTTGTTTGAACTTGTTCGGGCCACATCCATTTACTACTGCAGGTGGACATTCGGTCAAAACGAGCTGACCCTTGCACTTGCGGGGACGGTAAAAGGAAGTTCGTAAATCATGATGAAGCTATTCAACTTGGACAATTCCTTCTTCTTTTTTACAAACCCACGCACAGGCACATGGCTTTGTATAGTTAATTGGACCGGCAAGTGCCGGGACGTGCCAGTGCTTGGAACGGCACAGCCACCCGATAAATGCAATTCTTGGGGCTTGGGTGTGGACACGTGTCATAGATGATATTTCTCTTGGCACATTGGCTTTGACATGAAGTCCATCGCATGAGTCTACATGGGAACACAAAGCTGGTGTGGCACCACCAGCTCGTCGGCTTTTCTTCTTCACGATCAGCCCCTGAATATGTAGGTGTGCATTGCCATGGGCAGGCATTCGTGCACGAATCACATGCACCATGCATGTTATCACTCGACTCGTTTTGCCGGCAAAGCTAGAATGAATGAACGAATGAATGAATGAGTGAGTGAGTGAGGTGAGTGAATGAATGAATGATTTCAATCAATCAATCAATCAATCAATCAATCAGTCAGTCAGTCAGTCAGTCAGTCAATCAATCAATCAATCAATCACTCAGCAAATCAATGAGTCACTCAGTAAATCAATGAGTCACTTAGTAAATCAACGAATCACTCAGTAAATCAATGAATCACTCAGTAAATCAACGAATCAATGAGTCAATCAAAGAATCACTCAGTCAATCAATGAAGCACTCAGTAAATCAATGAATCACGCAGTAAATCAATGAATCACTCAGTCAATCAATGAATCACTTACTGTAGTAAATCAGCGAATCACTCAGTCAATCAAAGAATCACTCAGTCAATCAATGAAGCACTCAGTAAATCAATGAATCACGCAGTAAATCAATGAATCACTCTGTAAATCAATGAATCAATGAATCTGCGGCCGGCCTTGGTTTCTCCATTTGCCCGGCTTGCCATGCAGACTCTGCCGAGGCGCAGGTGTCCAAGGAGCGGACTTGGGCTCCAGGCCGCACGTTTCGAGAGACCCGACTTCGAAAGCTCCGAGTTATTCCGGAGAGGCAGAAATGGCTGTGGGTCAAAACGTGCACCACCCATTTTTGTCTATTTTAGTGGGGATTGGGATGTTCACTGGAGGTACGGGGTTTTGACCCATGGCCAAATGGCTGTGGGTCAAAAATAGGGTAGCCCCAAAATGGCGCAAGCCCTGGTAAAATGGAAACATGGACTAAAACCTGCGGTCCACCCGTCTCTTTTTTTTGGAGCATGCCTTTGTTTTGGTGGTTTTCAATCGGACACCAACAGGAACACCATAATTTCGGAGGGGTCCCTTCAAAAAGAAATGACAAACCCGAGTGTGTTGGGTGGGAGTTCGAGGACCATAGTACAAGTGCCGTGTCAATCAAAGGACAGTTCAGCGAGCGCCATCACCTGAATAGGGAAGTACCCCTGTTTGATTTGGAGAGTCTTTCAGTGACATCTCTAGCTGTACCCTCCCCATTCTCTTCAGGCATCATTCTCTTCAAAGAATGGGGCAAAACCCTGGAAAATGGATGGCTTCCAAAGAGAACGATGGGTGAAGAGAATGGAATTGGAATCAAGCCTTCAAACATCTCTTGCGCAACGTCGCATCAACTCAAATTCGAAAAGGGCGCGGGGAACGCCTTCCGCGATTCCCGGAGGCCCGCCTCGGGATACTTCAGCCGCGCCGCGCCCGGGGCGGCGCAGCAGCTGCCGGAGGCGGCGTCAGTTGGGTTGAGCGGGGGCTGGGGGAACCCTAAAAACCTCAGCTTCAGGTTGGGTCACGGTTGTTCAGGGCTCCTCAAAAGATACCGTTTGCAACCATTTGAATCATGTGGCTTTTTCCACAAAGGGAAACCACCGTTTACAAGTTGCAATGTTCAGGTGTATAATGTAAGGATCCCTGTTGTTGTTGGGAAACATCTTTTACATGTTGCTTATTGTCCCAGTTGCCCCGTGGTGCCCTTGTTTTGTTTTCTCCTTTTTTTGGGGAAGGGTTCTCGCATAAAGTCAACCAACCAGAAAAGGATGCCCTTTTTTTACATGGCCACTAGGCCACTAGGCATCTGAATTGTGGTTTAGTGGTTGAAATTCAAATCCACTCAACTGCTAACATTTGATAATTTTTGCTCCCTTTCCAACGTCAACAAAGGGGTGGGGGGTGGCTGTGCCTCAGAAAGTGGTACCCAAAACGGTTTCTTGGTAGATGGAAGACCAAGACCTGTGTAAACCCCGGCTTCTCACAAAATATTGAGTCACCCGGGGGGTGGAATTGGGAGTTGTGACTCGTGGGGTGGGCTTTGAAATTGCCCCTCACCCAGCACCAACCAGCACCCGAAACGGGACGGCAGGTTCTTCACCGTGGTGTTTTTTTCGCGGATGGTGTGTGTCAAAGGGGTGTGGGTTACGTGGGAGTCTCTCGGAGCTCGGGTTGTCCCTGCGACAAAAAGAAACCTCTAATCCCCCCCAACAAAGAAAAATAACAACAGATCTAAATCTTGCGGGAAAAAATAAAGAAAATTAACAAAAACGAATCCCGCCCGGAAAACAAGAAGGAAAAAACCGAAGAAAAGACAACACAGACACATCTAAATCCCTGGAGGCTTTCCCGCGCTTAGCTCGGCACGAATAACGCCGCCCGAGCTCCAGCGGCGCAGGCGTTGAGAAAGCGCCTGGAAGAGCGGAATGAGGTCCAGCGGCGGCAGCAGGAGGGATGAGATCAGTCTGAATTCAGTGTTCATTGGTTTCTCAGTTGTTCAGTGGCAGTGGTTCAAACACCGGGGAAGCACGACATCATGATGATTGTGACCCCTTCTAAACTTGGGACAAAATACTTCCATTTGCTGAAAGGAATACTTTTTATTGTCCCTTGTTGGTTTTAAAAGGAATTTATCACTACTGGAAATATGTTTTATTTTTTGTTCAGTTGAGCCACAATCAAAACCCGGTAGATGAAGGCTAGTAAGGGACAATCCCAACCATAAATAGCTGCGACCTCCTTGTGGTTTGTTTCCCTTGGGCAAAAAATTGTTAAGGGAGCAATGCCCAGTTCGCTGAGCTTGGCCGCGAAGCAAGACGATCCAGGGAGGAGTCGAGCCTCCATGATTTGTGCTTCCCTCCGAAGTGGAGATAAGACAACGCCTCACCCATGTGGCAACTGGATCTCTGCATTTCAAGCTCGTTTTTTTTCACACATCTGGTGTTGATGGCAGGAAGCATGGTCATCTCCCGAGCCCAAACAGGCCGAAACACACACACACGCACACCAAAAAAAAAGAAGAAGAAGAGAAAAAGCGCCCAGCAACGACCGACATGGCTGCTTTTCCCTATTTGCCCACGAACCGCGGGGTCAACATCCTACTTGCCGATCAAGATATTGTTTGGCGTATGATGAAGGATCCTTAGCAAATTATTGGGTTCTGCGCTGGTTGTCCCCTATCAAATTCCATCGCCAAAAAGTCAATGGGGTCGGGTGTTTAATGTGGTGATGTGTTGTGTGAGTTGTTGATTTGGCTCTGAGTTTTGACAAGCAAAACCCATCTGAATGATGTCCACCAACAGGTCCCTAAATAAAAATCACGCCTATTTTGTTTGCTTGTTTACTTGCTTGCTTGATTCGGTGTTTGCTCCCACGGTGGTCAGGAGCAAAAGCGGGGGCAGAAGAATTCCTCCCACTCCCGCATGCACGGCAGTGAAGCAGAGGCGGCGAGCCGGGGGTGCGCCAAAATTTCCACTGGGTTCGCTTCCCTTAATATGACATGACGCATCTCCCAGTTTTGGGACTTTCACACTCGTAGAGCAATCATGATTGGTGGAAAACACATTTTGCTTAAGAACATTAATTTGCCTTGCTGGTTTTAAAGGGAATCTATCACTACTGGACATATTTTCATTCTTTCCAGGGGGCTTAAGCAAATGGAAGAAAACAACCGTGTTCTCTTGTTTCTAATCCAGGGAGCGAGAGGCCGTCTGCAAATTTGCCGGACTCTGAGGTGTCTCTAAGACAGTTTCAAGGGACTGGGGTACAAACCCTCATACTGGTAATTCCCCCCCCCCTCCTAGGGCGTTGTGGCTAGTGGAAACCGTTTTGGAGCGTCTTGTGCAGGGCAGGATGATGTTCGTGATTGCCCTAGCATTCTTCGCGCGTGCAACATCACGACCTGTTTCCTGCAGTTTCCATCACAAAACCAGATGCCCGAAAGAGAAAATAGATGCAAAGGACTCGGGCCCTTTTCAAAGGAGAGTTTGTATTGACTAGGTCTCCCGGTAGTGCCCTTTACCCTTTTTTTCGGGGAGGGCTCCCCTAAAATAGACTACAGAAAAAAGGGTACTGTAATTCGAACCTCCCTACTGGAGGACCTAGCATTGGGGAACGCTGTGAAGCGAGACGATGGACGCTCCAGGAGAGCGGGGGCTACCCGGAGCCGGCCCCGGTCAAGCTGCCCCCATTGGACGGAGGCAAGGATCCCAGAGGAAACTGGCGAACGCTCTCAAGGAAATCGAGGATGCAGAGACATGCCCCTCTTTTTTGTACGAAGTCTCATATGACCATCTTGGATCGTGGCTGGCACCAAAGGTGCGGGAAATGATCCTTTTGTGTTCTGGTCAAGGACAATCTAAAAGCGCACGTTTGTTTTTGTTTTTGTTGTTCCTTTTATCAATTGGCATTTTGAGTTTTTGGGTCATCAAGTCTCTCAAAGAAGAAGACAGAGAGAATCTGGAAGTCCTGTGCAAATGCTGCTGGGTCTCTCTCTCTCCCTCTCTTTCTCCCTCCCCCCCCTGCCTTTTTTCTTAACATCATGTTTGTTGTTTGCTTTTGTCTCACAGAGCCTTGCTGACTTGCAATCCAGCGAGCTGCTTGCTCTTGACGGGGCTACAGAGCATCTTGGGAGTCGGGAGGATTTTGCGAGGGGAACCAGAAGGAACCCAAAGCCAACTAACGTGGGTATGCAGTATCTCATTTGGCTGTAACTAGGGAGCCCTCCACGGTCCACATGACCAACTTCCTTTGCCAGGGCTCCTTAAAAGATACCCTTTGCAACCATTTGAAACATGGGATCTTCCACAATAAAGGGAAACCACCATTTGCCAGTTGCAATGTTCAGGTGTATAATGTAAGGATCCCCGGTTAGCGGGCTTCCCTTCTGAAAGGCGATTGCTGGGCCCACCAACGCGGTCCCCAGAATCGGTCCACGCGAGGTCCCCGTTGTCCACCGCCCGATGTACGTGAGCGTCTGGTGCAGGCAGCGGCAGGGGCCGCCGCGCGATGTCGCAGCCCCCGGTGGATTTGCCTGGCGCGCAGGACTTGGGGACCACTAGAGGAGTGGCCCAACACATAGCGTATGTATGTAATATATATATATATACATATGGGCTGGACCATATATATATATATGTATATATATATATACATATATCTACATATATGTATGTATATGTAGATGTTAATTATATCTACATATGAGGCATGCGCACACACATGTACACTCTTAGACAATTACGCACAATTATGTTTGTGTGTCCAAGCGCCTACTTGAGATTGTTGGGTTGCTTTGCGTTTGCTTCTTTCAAATGGGCTCTACGCCAACCTGGGGACCAATCCTAGGTGGATGTGAGCAACCAAAACCCAGGTGAGTCAAGGTTGGTAAGAGACGGCCAACCATAACTAGATGCGGCCGCCTGTTCAATTCTTTACATGGTCTTGGGTGCACCATGTTAATACCAGGTTCCGGTTATGACTCATGTGGGAATCCAAGATGCCCCCCTCACGAAAGCAGCACGCGTGCCTACCGGACGAAAGCCCTTTGTTGCAGCGTGTTCATGCAGTTTCTAAAGGTGGGCGCTTGTTCTGCACTTGTGATCAGAAGAGCAGTGCTTTGTACTTTGTTAGTGAGAACAAGGCAACAAAGTTTGTGCCCTCCATGTGAGAGGCTTGAACAGCATCCCAGCGAGCTTGACCGGGCTTCGCAGACATCAGCCAACGACTCCCTGGGCATGTTGAGGTTGGTTGGCATGCTACCCAACAACGAGAGCGTTGTCGCCCTTACAGAATGTTGTCTTGGGCGTGTGCCGCAACCGGGCTTGGGATTGGGTCAATCACTTCTCTGAATCGATGGAGATGAAGCTCTAGTCCAACTGATGCAAACTTCCTGCGCAGCATAAAGACTCCGTGTCTAAGATGCTGCGGCATCTTAGACTCACTCCCTAGTTCCTGAGTTTCTGGACTTTACATACACTTTTTTTCATGGCTGTGGGTCAAAACCAATTGAACCATCTGCACCACCCATTTTAGTCTATTTTAGGTACGGGATTTTGACCCATGGCCATATACACTTTTTACGAAGATCGTTTTAGTGGCAAACAAGAAGCTCATACATTTTTTCGGGGCACTCCACTGAAGTGAGAAGATCACAATCTCTCTGAGTCTCAAGATCAAACCTTACAGGTGCAACATGCTTAGTTATGATGGTGACCCCTTCTAAATGTGGGACAAACTACGACCATCATTCCTTGGTGGTTCCCAGCCATCCCCTTAGCTTTTTAGACGTTTAGCGGGGGATCTGAGGACAGCCCAGATTCCAAAGGGCTGGATGCTTGGCTTTTCCCCTCTCGCTTTTTCGAAGGAGCCCAAGAAGCCGCGCCCAAAGTCGCAGCCACCGGGGGACGAGGACGGAAAGCGAACAGGCCTTGAGTGAAGACTGGAGAACGTGCAACATGGGTGGCATTCTGACTGAAAGCAGCACTGCGCTTTCAAGTTGATAGGATATATGACAAGCCCAGGTGCCTATTGATCCAAAAAAAGGGGCTAGCCTCAAAACTGTTTCACCCCCGTTCCATGTTTTGACCTGTCCTTGAGCATTGATTTGACTCAGAGGCTCCAGAACCACAACTCCGTCTCCCCGCTCGAAAGGAATGCAGCCGTCAGATGTTTGACAAGAACACGCTGCGGACGATGCATCGTTACCGGTCGGCACTGTGTTGCGCTTGGAAGTTTGAGTCGCAGTTAGAGACTTTCGTGTGTCTTTTTTGAGGCTCCCCCCCCCCCCCCGAAACTGTGGTTTTCCTTTTGAGGGATCCCCCCAAAATTGTGGTTTTCCTGTTGGTATCCCTTTAGAACCACCCCAAAAGGAGTACCCGCAAAGCGAGACGAGCTGCCCATATCCGCCCAGCCAGGTTCGCTGTTTTTGAGGTGACCAACTCAGTATGTCTCTCCTTTGAGCTTTTCAAAGACGCTGAGGCCAAACGTAAGCGTGGGCGTGCTCACGCTCGAGAAAACCCTTTTGGGCTTGTTTGAGAGGACAGCCAACTTGGCAAGCCGCACCAACTTGAATGGGAAACTCCATTTCCCAGTAGGAGCCAAACCTCCCTAAACATCTTACGCCTTTTGGACCAAGGTCAGGTAAGCTTAGAATATCCACAGCATGTGTGCCCTCCCTACACTCATGTAAGCTGACATATCTATAGATACCTATACAATCGGGTGCACATATGTGTCATGCATACGCATACCCGTTTGCGTATACACATGCATGCGCATATGTACCTACCTATACACATGCGCAAGCACATGGCTGTGTACACACATAACACATACACAAACACGCGCACACACGCATACACGCGTGCATGCGCCAATACACACATAGACATACATGCATGCATGCATGCATGCAAGCATGTACACTGACGCACGTATATGTGCATCATGCAAACATACAACATACATATGTACATATACACATTGTATATGTGCATGCATGCAGATAGGTCATGCATACACACATATACACACGTATGTATATGCATGCATGCAAACATACACTGATACAAATGCATATACCCACTACACATTCAACTGCACCCAAGATCCACACCTGATTTGTTGCGTGCCCAAGGCTGGAGGTGGGTCATTCGAGGGAGGTGACCATTTATACCTCTATGCAAAACAATTTGTTTACATGCACCTACATATATATATATACATATATATACATATGTATATATATATGCATGTATAAATGTATCTATCCATGTTGTGTCCCATTTGGAGTGGGGCAGCCTGAGGGGACCTTTTCATGGGCGCCATCCAGCAGTTCCGGGAGCGTCAAGTGGCTCGCGAGGCGCGCGGGTCTCCACGCTCGCTGGTTCTCAGATCATCCCGAAGTGAACCATCCCTCGTGCTGCTTAAAGGGGCGATCGGGGACTTAGTAAGTGGTCAGTAGCCATGGTTACAACCCACTTAGATATAAGTCTCCGTTCAGTGGGTTATAACTATAGATACTAGCCACTTACTAAGAACCCGGTCGCCCCTTTAAGTGGGTTTCCTATGTGGGTATTTGTCTTGTACAAAAGGGTTGTGCCCTTCGTTTCCCTTCAAAACCACCAAACAAGGGGGCATGTTTTCTGTTTCTGTTGTGCAAAATGGCCGTTTTCCTCTTGGTGTCCCTTTAAAACCACCAAAACAAGGGGTACCCTCAAAAAGGACAGACCCATATTTCCCATTTTGATGGTTGTAAACCATCTCCACACAGCTGGTTTTGGAAGACTGATTGAACACTTGGTTCCTTGGCGTCTAATAGACCAGCCTCAGATCCTACAGGAAGTTAACCACATTTGGCATTCAACTGTGCCTTGCGACAAACAAACAGCACGGCGACTTGGTAGGACCAATTTCTTTGATACCGATGGACCTTTAAAGTGACGCGATAGTCACACGGTTGGGAAAATCAAAGTTTGGTATCACAGGAAGGGCTGAACTGAACCATCTTTGTTGTGTCCTTTTGGAATCCCTTTCCGGTTCTTTGCGGATAAGAGCCAGGAAGGTTGTTTGCTCCATTTTTTGGGCCGGGGGGTTCCCAAACTTAGACCAACCTGTTGCCTGAAAATCGGAAGCTCGTAACCCCCCCAAAGGGTATCTGGTTTCCCGGGTACCCACACCCCGCGGCTCTCGGTCCAGACGTCTCCGTCGGGGGCCTTGTCTCTCTCGAACGCTGCGCGCGCGCATGCGATGTGCGCGCGAGGTGCCTGCGGCCCCGAGCTCCTCTTCGGTGAAGGTGTGCCTCAGGAAGCGCCTTTGGCCGCAACTTCCGTTTGCTTGAGAATGTTGTTTATTTTCCAACTGCTTGGTTTTAAAAGGAATCGATCACTCCTGGACATATTTTCTCATTCAGGGGGCGAAAAAGCAAATGGTGGGGTCAAGCCTCTTACACGAGCCTTTGGCGATCGAGCGAGCGGAGAGTCGGAGAGCCGGGGGGGCGGAGCGTGGCTCGGTTTTCGTCTTTCTAAGTTGTGTTGGAAACCCCTTTGGAGGAGTGGGATTAAAGGGAAGCAAATGGAAGACCAACTTTTTTTTGTGGGGGGGGGGTCGCCTAAAGAAAGACAGCCATTTAGGTCCATATAGCTGTCCTGTTGATCGGATAGTTTTGGATAGAAACAGATGGGAAACAACAGGTTTACTGTAGATTGGTTTGCCTCATTTAGCAGGGAAACTCATCTATTTTTCCAAAAGGTCACCTATGAAGGGGCCTTTTGTGGACCAGTTGAAACTCGGGTCTTACGTTGACACTTTCTGAGAGGCGTTGCAACTTTTTCCTATTTAAGGCTTTATCCATTCCAAGTGGAGGATTTCGTCCATTCACGGTACGTCCAGAGAGCGAGAGAGATTCGTTGAGTTGCTTCTCCTCCTGTGCGCAGTATCTGTGTTTCCACTTCCCATTTTGTTGAGGTCCCTTCGAGATCCCATATAATTGCTATATAGTTCCCCGTCAGGAAATACCCCTGCTGGTTCTGCCACCTCCAATGGTCTCCAACAACTGTTCAATCCACTTTGTGTGTAAGTGGTGTATCTGGGGTAACAGGACTAATCACCCGAATTATAGTCATGGTTTTAGCCTCCCAAAACTGGATTAGAGGACTAAGCCCAGTTACCCAAGTTCTCACTCCCGACTTCATTGACTTCAGCTTTTTGGGTTATGGACCTTTCTAGTGGGTAAATATCAGAAGTTCGGATACTTTTTTTCTGGCTCATCCACTCAGGAAGTGAGAGTCCCAAAGTCCCAAGAGTGAGCTGAACGCCCAAGTGGAGCTCTGGGGCCAATTTCAGCGCACCACTCTCCAGGCGGCCCATCTTCGCCGCGGAGACGCGCGCGGACTTCGACGCCGTCTCCGTGCTGCCGGGGTCTTCGCCGGGCCAGGCGGGCAAAGTCATGTGAGCCGAAGTCAAAAGCCGGGGAAGTGAAGCTTAGCAAGGGAAAGTCCCCGGAAATAGTTGCTGCCGGCTTTGTAGTTCTTTACAATTGGTTTGGGTACACCATTTTAATACCAGGTTTTGATTGCGACTCGTGTCCATCTTATCAATTCATTTCGTCGGCCGAAAACTCATAGGTTTCTTTCTCGGAGGTCGACTCATGTGTTTTTCCGGTGGGCGAATGGCAATTTGCCCGGGAGGTGGGGGGCAGGATTTATCGCTTGAGAGCCCCCCCCCAAGGTCAACAGCCTCTTACCACTCAACCCTTGGTTTTGATACGTGAAGGCGGAGACGGTTATGGCCCTCACAAGAAACTGAAGGTTTGGCACCTCACTGACGCAACCTTCAACTTCAGAGTGAGCATTGTTAAAACATTCGGCAAGCGCCGGTTGCTTGCTGTGAAACAATACTTGCGAAGGACGAATCCTCCTCCAAGTCTCGTGCTTGCATTTGCTTGCAGGGGCCCGTGTCAAAAGAAAGGAAGCAATACCCCCCCCAAAAAAAAGAAAAAAAGAAGCAACAACAACACAAAACAAAAAGAAAAGGAAAATAAAGTGTTTGCCCATGGCGGCTGGACAGGTGACGGTCCACAACTGCCTGTTCCAAGCGGATCTGAAGACGCCCTTCGTGCAACACTTGAGCTTCGACTTTGATGAGGTCTTCGACGACCAGGCGCGTTTTCGGCAACGGAAGCCGGAAGCCGGGTCTTGCAGCGACGGAGGATGGCATTTACCTTCCGTTTGCTTGAGAATATGTTTTATTTTCCCCTGTTGGTTTTAAAAGGGAATCTATCACTACTGGAAATATGTTCATTTTTTCCAGGGGTCTTAATGGAAGGTGACGGAGGATCGCGTACTAAATTACTGGCTGGTGCTCAGCAGGGAAGGAGAACATCGAATGACCCCCATAAACCACCCCCTTGTGGTTTCCGTCAAGAATTTCAGACAATCCTTAGTTAGTGGGTCGCATTGGTGGTTTGGATTTGGAATTTAACGGGTCCCTGGTTTTTGTAGAGGGTAAATGGCAAACCACCTCGGAACACCACCAAACGACCAATCCGAAGCACCAATTAGAGGGAGGCTGAAAATTAGATAAGGTCTTCATGAAGTTGTTGTCCTTTGTCTATCATGAGCCTGATTCTGGTTTTGAATCATGACTCCTGCACGCGCACGTCTAGTTTGCAATTCAACAGAAGTCTAGCCATGAAGCTAGTGAACACTGGGTTTGTTTCCTCATGAGGCAAGAAGGCCACGCTATGGAAACAGATGCTGGATGTGTCTCGGTTGCCATTTGGATCAAGTCGCTCAGCCGCTGGCGGCTTGCGCTGCCAGCGTGCCTGGGAGATTTTTCTTCCCGGCTCACGCACGCCGCCAAGATGCTTGGAGGGGGTGCGTTGATCAAGCAGGCCGGCCTCTTCGGCTTCGGCTACAACCGTGTGAACTACAAGTCGCTCACCTGAAAGCTGGTCACGGCTGTGCTGTGACGCCAGGGGAATGGTTGCTTCATATTGGGATCTAACGGGCTTGCTTGAGTGTAATTAGCTATGTTAAAGCCTCGCGCCCTGTCAATACAGTTCAGGCCACAAACTGTTAACATCCATTTGGATCCAAGCCTTGCAACACATGGTTGTGGCTCAACAAACTGGAATTCCAAAATGGAACCCTGGTAAGCGCAAACATGGACGAACACCTGCGTTTTGCCTCTCCTGTTTAATTTTGAGCCACACATGTTGGCCAATCCTTCGGTCCGCAAGCCGAGGTTCGACCAGGGTCAACGATGGGCTCGCTTCACCGCCGGGCGAGCCAACGAGCTCAAGAGGGTCGCCATGTGCCTTGGCCGTGCGAACGTTGAATTGATCACACTTGGGGTGAGCGGTTCCGCGGGAATTCGTTTTCCCAAGTGTGATCAATTCAACCACCAGGAAACAACGTACTTAGTAGTCATCGTCGTCGTCGGCGTCGTCATCATCATCATCATCATCATCATCATCATCATCATCATCATCATCGTTATCATCATCGTCGTTATCATCATCATCATCATCATCATCATCATCATCATCATCATCATCATCATCATCATCGTCATCGTCATCGTCATCGTCATCGTCATCGTCATCGTCATCATCGTCATCGTCATCGTCATCGTCATCTTCATCGTCATCGTCATCATCAAGTTGACAGGATGTTCGACTTCAAAGGGAATGGTAGTAGTGTTCATCACTTCAGAGCGTCGGGAAGCAGCGCCCCCTAATCAGAGATCAGCTGGTCATGAACAACATCTCTTGGATACGTGGATCAAGATTCATTGAGTGAGAGGGAAGATTCGTTCGCAGGTCCGTGGCAACAACCAGGTTGGTGGCAAGCGTCCAAGGGGGGCGTTAGGTGACTGGCTAAGGATTTGTTGAATGGTTTCTCCAAGTCGTCCGTTTTCCCGTGGTGCTGACAAAGACCACATGCCCGAGAGGTTTCTTGGTGCCCTAGGACGGCTTTGGGGGAGAGCGCCGTGAGACAACCCATAGTCCGTTCCGCCTTTCACAATGAGTCCTTCGGTCGCCCCATGGGCTTCCGAGTGATTCTTTTCGCATGTTCAAACTGCTTTGGGGGAACAAAACTCGGAGGGTGCCCTCTTTCCAACAATCGTGGAAGTGCACAAAGGGGTTCCCCAAAAGGAAAATAGTCTTCCAAAGCTGTCCTGTCAACTTCCATGATTGTTGGAGGGAGGGTACCATCGGAAGGGCTTCGAGTTTGAACTCCGCGTGCTCGGCTGTTGATCGCTCAGGTTCCGTGAGGATGTCTCGGACCTGGCCGCTGTGTCCGTGAGCAAGCTGAAGGCGGGAAATGTCTTTGACCATCTTTGACCCGAGACGCGGGACACGAAGGTCCGAAGTTGGGACCCCTGCATCTGTTTTTTTTGAATGGTTGATGTTGGGGCACCTTCTTTTTTTGAGAGGCGAATCAGGCCTTCAACGGTGGCTTTATGCTTGTTTTGTTTGTGACCAGAGTAGTTCAGGGGGGAAGAGAAATGAGAAGCTGTTATGGGAGGGGCTCATGTGCTTTTGGTGGCTTGACGTGAAGCACTCCAAGGACACCAGTTGGTCTATCTGGCGGATGATGTTCCGAGACACACTGTGAGCGACTAGTTTCTCAGTGGTTGGGGCGCTTGGTTCGTGGCATCGGCCGGTTCGAAGGCCTGTTCGAAGGCGCGGAAAGTCGAACGGCTTGGCATCAAGATAGGTGAAGCCATCAATGCGGTCTCCTTATCCTCCAAAAGTGTAGATTCCTCATGGAGGAGTGCCGAAAAAGATGGGTGGCAAAAGGACCACTCTGCAGTGATCGATATTCAGAGAGAGTTTTGGAGGTCTACGTGCCAGTGCTCACCATGAGCCTGGGCTACGTGCTCACTGTCCTAGTGGAGGCACGATCTGGTCTGAAGCCACCCGTCCTGGCAATGGGTTTGTTCCCACTTCGCACCACAAATTGCAGGGCCCCGCCGGGGCAGGGGATGGGTGGCTGGGAGGACTTGTGGGCTGACCCAAGATGAGCAGAATGGTGGCGTTCCTTTTGTTGTGTGGTTTTCATTTAAACCCATCATCACAAGAGGAGTACCCGCCAAAGAAATTGCACACCCTTGTTGCACCTCCCATTACCCCGAAAATGGACAGGGCAGCGGCAGCCCTGTCCTTGACTTCCGAGTCAATCCGCATTGCTTTTTTTGTCATCATCGTGACACATGGACTCGACTTCTTCACAAGGTTTCCATGACCTTGATCCTTGACCCTGGAAGAACAGATCTAATTCGCCTCTCACCCGGAGGCTCATCTGTCAGCATGGAGATTGGATCTCTTCCTGGATTAGTAGGGTGGCTTCCTCCAAAGGGGAGGAACTTCTTGAAAATTGCACACCACAGATTAATGTAGGGGTCCATGAATCAACTGGGGTTCTCATGAATCATCTCCTTTGGCCCATTCATCCTCTTGAAGCTGTAATCTGGCCGCCCTCTGCTTCGCCTGGACATATGCGAGGAGTTTTCAGATACCCCGTATTCTACCGCCTCCAGTTCTATTTCAACAGCCTGTGGGGTACCGAACCGAAGTCGAGAAGTCGTAATGAATGTTGTTGACTCCCCATATCAATCAACCCCAGTTGATCAATAGGGGGGTGGTTACCCCCGGTTGAGTGGTTGGAATCAGACCACTTTTGGAGGAACCCCCCCGATGAATGAACTGGTTGGTTGGTTAATATGGGGTCAACATGACTTCTCAGCAGGCCAACACATAAATTTAGACCTTCAAGAATCTGGCCCAGAAAACAATTGTCAAAGCTATGTGTATATATATATATATATACACATACAAAGAAGGTTGGGAAAGGCTATGGTCAAAGCTGGGGGCCGAAGCTTGAAGGGACTCTTGATCAACGTTATCTCGTGACCCACATGGGCAAGGCTACCCATGGTCAAGGCTGGCTCTAGATGGAATCAACTTATCTCTCTAGGGGTTGATTCCCTTTCCATTCTTTTCAACCATCGTTCTTTTCAATAGCCGGATCTGTTTCTTTTGGGGTTTTTATGGTTTCCAGGGAAAAACAATTCGGATCCCTGGGTTAAGAATGGACATGGAAGGCCCTAGAATCTCAGGTTTCCCGCCCCGCCCACCTTTGCGAGCGGCCTCTACCTCAATTGCCTGGCCGTTTCCTTTGCCTTCATGACGCTCTCCATTTGGCTCTGCTGGCGGCTGGACGAATGGATGGATGGTTCGGGGGCAGATCCGACAAAGTCGGCAAAAGAAAGCGCGTGGCCGGAGAGACTAATACGGTGGATGCATCCCTAAATATTGCAAGGGAACAAGGAAACCCTCGAGTTTACCGCAAGTTACCATGGTTTTGTGGTCGAGTTTGGGTGGTTTACGCAATGTTTGCTGCAACCGTACCACACTCGGGTATCGCAACAGTTTGGGCCGCCTTTTGGTTCAAGTAAGTGTTTCACGTTTGCCTTTCAAGCCTTGCCGCCTTTTCCGAGAAAGACCCCACGATTTCAAGCAGGGATACCCATTCAACAATCTCTCCTCGCCCTCCGCCTTTTCCCAGCTGCCATCACCCATCGTGGTTCCAGTGCCCCCCCCGATTGTTCTTCTGGCTGGGGATACGTCAGCATGCTTGAGCTTCCTGATAGTGCTCAGGGTCTTCCGCTCAGTTCAGCTGCAATGATGGTCCACCCTGGGTTGACGATTTAGTTCGGAGCATTCCTTGCCGCAATACTTAGTCTTCTTTTGATAGTAGGAGGCCGGGCGCCATCATTTGCTGACAGTCATGGCCATCAACACCTGTAGAACTCTGGCATCTATTCCAAGGACAAGAGCCATCAGTGCGACATAGCATGACCATGCATTAGGAGCTTCGACTTGAGCTGACACGGGATTGTCTCCAAATCGCGCACCCCCCTCCCATTTTTTTCGAGGTTCTCAGAAACCT